AGAGTGTATTTCTTTTATTGTGACACAGTACAGTCTTTAATTAGGGTTGAGATATTTAACTAAAAATAGGTTAATATTTTAAAAGTGTATTTGCTATCACGTAGATCTTTCCTGAGAAGCTTATGGGATTATCGTAAAATGGACACTCATTTGAGTATGTGCTACATGTGGTGTGCTTGGATTTTACCTCTTGTACACAGAATAAAAAATATTTGTTTTAGAATAAGTACATGTCTTAAGACTTTTTTCACATAAGCAAAAGTTAATTTTATTTACTTGGGAATTTAGGACATCAATTATGTAAATTGATACCATGTAAAGGAGGGAAAAATTTGCCTTGAACTTGAAAGTTTGCTTGCAGTACTAATTCATTTGAGTGTTTATGATATTGAAATTGAAGTGCTTTGGTAAGCAGTAAACACAAAATACTTATTTTGGGGAGGGTGAAAGGCAGAAAGTTGGCCCACTGTGCGTTATTCTAATACTTACGTTTTATACAACCCAATTAACATTGAATTATTTCTCTTACATCTGGAGATATTAATCATATTTGCACTGCAACTATAAGCATGGCTTCAAGAAGACAGTAAGACCTGTTAGGAAAGATATTTAACCCTCAGAAAGAAACAAATTGATGTGGGGAAGTACTGCGTTTTGACTGTCGCTCTGGTGTGAGAAGTTGTAAAAACCATCCCAAATTGCAAACTTCAGTTCTCCTATCTACTAAAGGATATCTGCTAGGATATGGTAGAAAAAAGAAAAAAAAAAAAGTGAGGAAGAAGAGTTTTGCAGTATTCAAGCCCAAGAATCTCTTCCTACCTTGAGCACTTGGAAGTCTTTGGGACCATCAGTTAAGAACTAGATTGTGTGCTTTCATCAGTCAGTGCTGACCTCTTTTAAAATTTCTTCATGTTTATAGTTATTTTAAACTGAAATTTTACTATGCTCACATGAGCAAAGCCAATGTTTGAGACTTAACAAATTACTTGAAGTCCCAAGTATAGCTATTTAAATTAGAAAATCCAGGCTTGACTGCTTTCAGTATTTGGTATCACTTGATCAAATCACTTCTTGATGGAGTCTTGAATTTAAGTGAGGGAGGTATTTGTATTAGCTAAACCGTTTTATACATTTTACATTCTGTGAAGCCAGCTATTACACAAAGCTTGTTCTGTAATGAAATATGGATGTAATGCATTTAAATGTGTTGTTGTATTTAGGGTTTAGATGTTGATGTGGAAAACTGTGCTGTGTGCATTGAGAACTATAAACTGAAAGACACTGTCCGCATTCTGCCATGCAAGTAAGTTGCCGTCATTATTCTTTCCTCTTTAGCACGTTTTCCCAAAGAAACATGTGATAAGCATTCTGGAAACTCTTCTAAAACTCTGCTGGCAGAGCTGAAGCTGTGCCGTTTGTATTGCTTGTTACATGTTGAAGGGCACTGGGAGACCATGTAGCGCTTCATACCTATGCAGAAAAAAGGAGCAACTGGGAGAAGCGTGAAGTTGAGTTTTCTGAAGTTAGTACTGTACACTGTTGAACCAGTAACTGCAGTGTCCTTGTGGTTAGTAACGTCTCATATTTCAGAAAGCTAGCATGAAGATGCTTCCAGAACTGTCTGTCCTAGTAAATTAAGCAATACCTAATTGTCAAGGCTATAAAGGAATGGGTTTATTTTTTTTAATGCAGCAACTTGCACATCGTTTGAAGGAATGCTATGTGGCTTTCATGATTAAGTTCTAAAGGACATTTCTTTTCTTTAGGCACATCTTCCATAGAACATGCATTGACCCTTGGCTTTTGGACCACCGAACTTGTCCAATGTGTAAACTAGATGTTATCAAAGCTTTAGGATACTGGGTATGTTGCACACTTACTTTGATCTTCAAGGTAGAAGTACAGTGCAGGAGGCAAGACTTCATGTAACTGTTCAGGATGAGAACAGTTGGTTCTTGACGAGACTGAAGAAGCTGGGAAAAGATGCAAGAGTAATTGAGTGAGAACCAGAAAAATAAGGGAATTTTATGGGTAAGAGCTCAAACAGTGTATCGAGCAGCTTATGAATCCTCTGCGATAACCAATTTTTTTTCTGTCTCCAGCTGATGATAGTTAGGAAGTTGAAGCAGAGGTGAGGCAATTTGCCCAAGCTGCAAAAATATAACTTAATTCAATAGATCTAGAGGATATGTTTGATCTTGTTGAAAACTGTGATTCAGAGGAATAAATCACAGTTTTTCTGTCTTGAGTGTTAGTGTACTTCCACATATGCCCAGTGTTTTATCCCTGTAAATGAGCCAGTACTTAGAACCTTCCTAAAGACATTCACCAGAAATTGGTTAAGTAGAGAAAATGATGTGCTCTCATTTCTTTCTGACAGCACCAGAAAAGAGAGATGAAGACACATGCGGTAGGTTACTCAGTCACTGTTGATAAAGTCTTGAGTTCCACTAAAATGCTGTAGGCATGAATGTACCTCTTTTCTCTTCTGCTGCTTTAGAGATCTTCAGAAAATAGGGGCTTTCCTTGTTTTCAGGGACCTTCCTTTCATAGACTAGGTCTGTGTTTTGACTAGCTTTTCTCTTATTTTGTTGCAGAGACTTAGCAGATCTGTGGAAGGCTTTTACGAATTAATTTTTTGTTTTGTCAAAGGTGACAATACTCTTGCTATGTAATATATATATACCAGATTGTAGTGCTTCTGTGTATTAAGTCAGACTTTACCCAAGAGTTGCAATCTTTGTCATGTGAAATAGCTGTTATTACTTTAATATTGTTACGTTAGTGGCTTATTTTTTGCTCACTTTCAATTCTTGGAGTTGATGTAGCTTGTATTACATGCAGAAGGATATATCCTTTTGTATGCAGGCTGAAAACTGAAATACTAGAACCTTCAAAACACTTTTATTCCTGAATTCATGCTGTTGCAGAGGATACTGATACCAAGCCTGATCAGGAGTATTACCTCCTCTGCTTGTTAGGCAAAATTAATATTGGAAAGCAAGTTGAATGGGGTTATATTAAATACAGAAGTCCAGTTCTTTTTTCAAATGGAACGAGGAGATGTGTCCTACTTATGCATCAATTGTTGGAAGTCCCACTGAAGCTAGTAATGTGAAAAATCATTCAGTGTTTGTTTTTTTTCTAGTTTTGTTTTTTTTTTCTAGCTTAGTTTTCAGCCTGACCCAGGTTGCTCAATCTAGTTTGTAGAGTGATTGTGTGAATTTTTTTACTCATGTGAGGGGAAAAAAGTGCGAAGAGCAAGGCAGCTTCTTTCAGCAGTGTGCTCACTGAGTGACATAACTGCGCATAAGAACGTGCAGCCTTATTACAGAAATCTACTAAACCATCTGCAAAGAGGCTGAAGGCTCAACTCAGTTTTATGGAAAACAAATACTTCAGATGCTTCAAAATTTTTTAAAGGCTCAAAGTAGAAAGAAGGCACCAAGTCCTGTTACCTGTCTTTTCTTTTGTAAAGAGCGGACTTCAGTGGTCTAATTCTGCATTATGCTGTTTCTTACGAGAAAAAGAACTGCAGTTCAGCATGTCTGACTGATTTAGTAGAGCATTGTTGACTCTTGTTGTTTCAGTGGTTATTTAACTGCCTAAGTTTTGGAAACCAAAATCATTAATGCCTCCTGCCCACACACGTAGCGATTAGTATCACATGTGTCTTAACTTGTGTTCAATTGTAGCAGTTCTATAGCTTATTAAAATTCAGTACTTTTTAAAATATGCTGCTTTGGTGCTAAAGAAAGAATCAGCCTAGAATTTCTTCAGTCTTAAGATGTCCCTTTGCTAACTGTTTGAGGAGCAGAAAAATACTCATTGTGAAGCCCACAGTACATCTACTTGTACTGCAGTGTACTTGTGTATAAATAATGTCAGTATATCAATGGCAAGGGCTTAGTGAAGGTAGTCTGTTTAATTTTAGGAACAGAATTGTGTATGTAGGACTTCTGATCCATTCTGAAAGTTAATTAGAAACAGCTCATGCCGTACAATAGGTGAAATAAATTCCTTTGCCTGTGCTGCAGATGTTTTTTTCCTGCAAAGTGACAAGCCGGCATATTTGCATTTTTGGAACAGACTTAAAGTTAGGCTGGAGGTAGAAGAGGATGGAAGTTTGTTCCACTGTCAAATGTTTGCTCACTCCAGTAAAAAAAAAAAGGCTGCACTTGCCCAACTCTTACCATGAAAAACAGTGGCTTCCACGAACTCATAAAGGATCAATAGGTTTGCTCTGCGAAGACTTTGTATCTGCTGAGCCTGCTCCTAACCAGACTGCAGCAATACTGTTGCTACGGCATTGAAATACTCCATGCGAAAGGCTGGGTTGGATGGCTCCTGCCCTTGCTGCTCTTGGATTTGGAGTGGCTTTGAAAAAGTAACTTTTCTTTTGCTTGGCTTTGTGTCTTTGCAGTCAGACAGTAACATTGAAAGTAGACACTGCTCAACACTGTACTCATGAGCACATAGATAATAGGCCAAAGAAATGGTCTTTTTTCCAGTAAGGTGAGGTTACAAAGCGGTAACATGGAAGAATGTTGATGCCTAATGGTAGACAAAAGTGTCAGTTAAATATATTTAATTTTGAAGGGGGACCCTGAAGATGTACTTGAAGTTCCAATACCTGAATCAATAAGTGGCAGTGTTTCAGTCGGAAGTCTGAGTATTGCTTTACAAGATGATGACAGAAATGAAGTAAGCGAATTGTCAGCTTCGTCCACTAATGAATCTGTGTTGCAGTGTACCAGTTTAAAAGAGGACGCAGGTGAAACCACAGCATTACTTGGTAAGTAATTTGGTTTGTCACTTGACAATCTTTAATGCCATTCTGTAACTGATGTTAGTAGTGTTAGTGTTGCAGTGCGGGTCAGACTGAGTGGTGTCACTTACTACTGATGTTCAAAAAATACGAGCAGGTAGATTTTGAGAGAATTCTGTTGAGAAAACTGGTCTTGAGAGGGGGAGAAAAAAGATGTAACCAGTGTCTTAAGAGGATTACTTACCCAGAGAATCTTGAGAACTTTAGTTATATATGGATAAGAGATTTGTTGCCAAAGTTTGGATTACTGTAACAGATAAAACCTATTAAAATGGTAAATCAACAAACAATTTTTCTTTTAATTCCTGACTTCTAGATGTGGATGTCAGTAATAACCGACATGGAGAACATCTATCTAATGGAAATTCCCACTGAACTGCTTCATGGAAGATATCTTGAATAGACTGTTGAAGAACTATTATTTTTTATTTAATTAGTATGGACTTTTGTCTAGTTAACGGAAAAAATAACTATGTAAATTATTTTACCTTTCAAACTTTTCTAGCTGGTGTTCCAAAAGGGCTAATAACTAAGAATTTTGTACGCAGGAGGATTTTATAAAATCTCCTCTGGATGTCTCATCCTAAAAAAAGATGCAATAACCCTTTTTCTGTAAGCATCGTTACAATGTCATTGTGTTCCAGAGGGCTGTAACAAAGATGAAGACTAGGCAGTGAAAACAATGTAGAATGTCTAACAGAAATATTTTAGATGCACTATTTACATTTAGTATGTACACATGGAGAACACTTACAAGACCACAACTTTTAAAATGTTCTGAAAGTCCTGATCTGTTGTAATTGGAGATGGACAATCATAGAAAAGACATAATCCACCTTGAAAGATCAAAGAACTTCACAGATATGTTGCATATCTTTTTTTGTGATGAAAAAATTGCTAGTTGCAACTTTCCTTACATGCAACAAATACTAATTTAATCTTGTAATGTGTTCTTTTAGGAGTGGATGCTGAGAGAAAAGGAGACTTTCTCCATCTTGCTAGCTTTTTATACTGAATTTGGCAGTAATAGGTTGTGCTAGGTGGTCTTCACGTGCTGAGCATGTAGACTTATTTAGGTAATATGCACATTGGTTACCTCTTTCAATCTTAAACTCAGTAGAACAGAGGTAAAGGGCTAATTATGGCTAAAATGTATTTATTAGTCTATTTATAAGAATTTACTTAATTCCGTCTTACTCCTGTTCCCATCCTGTCCCACTTCGTTATGTACAAATTGAAACTGTTTTTTAGGATCTACAAAGTTTGGTTTTGTTTGGTTTGGTTTTTTTCTTTTCCTTTGCATAGAGATGCTGGAATTCTTCTCTTGGACATTCCACATTAGGAGTTTTGACTGGGTTTGCCATTAGCTTTTATTCCTTTCTTTTAGATTAGCAGTGTTGTGCCTTATAGTAAAACACTTAAGAAACCTGAAGCATCTGAGAGTAAATATAAACCCTGGCATCTCCCATTATGACCTCTTATTCAAATATTTATATACTGTAAGTGGTATAAGGAATTGCTAAACTGTTTTGTAAAGAAATATGTATATTTAAAACACTACTTAAGTGAATTGTTTAGGATTTTAGCATTGTCATGTTATAAATAATATGCTACATTCCTCAATTTTCTTTTGTAAAGCTGTTACTACAGGTTGCTTGAAACAGTGTCTTTTACTAGACATTTGTTTTAGAGTGCATTTTGGTTTTAAAATGTGTATTTGGAATGTTTTTAAGAAAATATGCAATTCTTTTTCTAACTTATATTAAGCTTCAATAGAAGCAATAACTTTTTTTTAATTTTAGAATGAATGTTCCAGAAATGACAGAGGTTTCAGCTGGGGAAATATAATCTGAACTTCTACTTTGCAGAGCAGATGTTTCACCCTGAATTTCCTTCAAAAAATTCCTACTAATGCTTATGAGCATATATAAATAAATCTGCCTCTTTCCTGTAGGAGTGTAACTTTTCAGTTTACTGGGAAATTGTCAGGTTGTAGTTCTGATGTCACCAGCAGGTGCAAGTTTTTGTGATGCCTTTATCTTACAAGAAGCACATGAGAATGGAATGTGACTGACCAACCATCTCCAAAACTGCACAAATAAAAAAGAAAACAACCCACAACTAAACCAAACAATGTATAGGGACGTTTGTCTCCAAAAAGAAGCTTATCAACGTTTCCAGAACTGCCTTTTAACTATCTCTTCAATATTAAAAGCTAAGTCTTCTCCCTCTTCCTTAACACAAAACTGAACATTGATGTAGTAAACGTTGAGAGGGTTTAAACTCTAGCTCAAGGAGGAACCAAAAGACGTTATCAAGAGAAGTCTTGTCAGTCTGTGGATTGTGTCTTGCTGATACCTGCAGCGCAATATTCATGCTGGAGGGGAGAAATGTGGTAAGTACTTCAGCTTCTGTGTAATACCTACAAAACCGAATGCTTTTCAAATCAAAGAATCAAAGCTGAGGTCTAGCAGAAAGCTGGAAGAAAAGCTAAAGAACCTGCAAACTGAAAAGTGTGCTTATAAAATCTGAAGTGTAAGTGATACTACTGACTTAGAAAAATATCTGAGTATGAAGAGTCCTGGAGCATGTTTTCTGATGCTGGCACTATACCTGTTTTGTTTCAGCCTTTCACAAGAGTAGCTATAGTTGTTTGAGTTGGGTTGGTTTGCACATAGTTCATCTTCAGTATAGTCAGGTCTGGTAAGGGCAGCTGTGCTGCTGAGCTGAGGAATGATGACAATAAAAGGCCGAATTGCAGTGCCTCCAGCAAGCAGTTTGCTCTCCTTGGAAGCACTATGACAAAAGTCTTCCGAAGCGAATCATTAGTCTGACCTCAGTCAAAAAGCTGACATGCATTAGCAAAAAGAGAGTGGAAGGTTAAAAAGTACAGGAAAGGAAAGAGATATGGAGCTTCAGACAGGAGCCAAAGAGGATTAGAAATGTGAACCTTATTACCTACTGTTATAACTCAAATCGATTACTTCTAGAGTAAGCTGGTGTAAACAGCTGTAGGTAAATACAGGTTCCCAGACTGCTGAACTGGATATATTGTGTATTGGATCAAGCTGGTATTTCTAGTTTCTAGCGCTATCAAAACTATCAAAAGTTAATATGAAGGTCAGAACCAATTTGAGTCTTTTTCCCCCCTATGAATGTTTTGGCAGGATAGGTTCCTTGTGACTTCCTTCCCTACCATTTGGAGAGTCTTTAATCTGCCTCTTCTATTTAGCTAGCCTGTGTCCTGCCTAATGTGGGAGCTGATGTGTTGTGTGTTCCTTCTGCTCCCCACCCTGATCTTTCTCTTCCTAGCTGCACATTTTTCATAAAACATGTAGGAGCTTGTCTCGGAGACCTCTATCCCTTTGTCAGATTCTGCTGTTATCAGGCAGAGGGTTGTTCTC